CAAATGAAGTCTTTAAAGAGGGAGATGAGTGTAAGTCAGTATTGACATTATCTTGAGATGTTACAGGTTAAGTGGACTGATCTGAATGGTTTACAACAAAGGGTTCTGTTTGTTGTTCAGTTTGAGGGAGCGGGAACACAATGTTTGGATTCTAGTTTTGGTTAGAGGAATCATTGGCATATGGGAAAATATTTTCATAGAAGGTTACATCTCTTGAGGTGAATATTCGATGAGTCTCGAGGCTATATAGTTGGTATCCCTTTTGTCTTATGGATAACTAACAAATATACATCGGGTTGCCCGAGGTGCAAATTTGTTTGTGTCTAATGGTCGCTCCTGGGCATAGCATAAGACCCAAAAGTGCGCAAGTGATCGAGGGTGAGAGGCCTTCCAAAAAGTAACTCAAATGGGGACTTACCTTGAAGTGGAACGACTGACAAATAGTTGATTATGTATGTTGAAGTAAGCACACATTCACCCCAAAAGCTAACTGGTAGTGAAGCTTGAAATCGCAAAGCGCGGGCAACCTCTAATAAGTGCTTGTGTTTTCTCTCAGCTCTCCTGCTTTGTTGCGGGGAATCGACATAGGTTCTTTGATGTACAATTCCATTTTGAGAAAAGAATGATTGAATGGGATCAAAGAGAAACTCTTTCCCAATATCTAATCTAACTTGTTGAACTAAGTTCTCACCATGTTATAGAATGAGACAAGTAAAGAAAATGTTTCTGACTTAAATTTCATCAAGTACAACCAAGTGCATTTGTTGTAACCATCTATAATGGTCAAAAAATATCTTGCACTTGAATAAGAAGCAATGCGATAAGGACCCCATATGTCAACATCTATCAAAGCAAAGGCTGAAATTGCTCTCAACGAGCTTATTGAAAATGGGACTCTAGTATGTTTTGCTCGTTTGCAAGCATCACAAGCCCCACTACTGTCATCTGTGATATGCCTATTTAATCGTAAAGACAACTGACTAGCTGGAACATGCCCAAGCCTATTGTGCCATGAAGTATATCCATCTCTGTCTATATGTAATGCAGTAGAAGCTGCCATTGAAGCACCATATTCTAAGCAGTAGACTCCATCAAATAGATGTCCCTTGCCAATTGTCTTCAAGTGTTGGTCTTGTAATACATAGGATGTGGAGGAAAAGAGAGCAACACAGTTTAACTGTGTTGTAAGTCTTCTTATAGACAATAGATTATACTTGAAGTAAGGCACATATAGTACATTTTTAATTACAAGATCAGGTCTCAATATAACCGTTCCTATATGAGTGGCACGTAAGAGACAATTATTTGGTAATCTAATAGAGAAAGGAGTTATTAAGACTTCACAATGAGTGAACAAGGTTCTGTCAGGGGTCATGTGATCTGAAGCCCCACTGTCCAAAATCCAAATGTTCGAATGTATTGAAGAAGTGAAAGGATCCTTACTAGTCATGGTTGAAGTATCCAATGAACCATGATTATCATCATTTAGTAGCCTCGGCAACTGATTATATTGGTCTACAATGAGAGATATAGGTGAGACTTCTTGAGACCTAGATGGTTCAATTTCATACAAGCTACATGGGCTGTTTTCCATTCTTGGAATTTCCACAATTGGAATTCTTAGTTGATTGACCTTTGTCCCAACCTTCAGGGTATCCGAGGAGTTCAAAACACTTGTCTCCAGTATGTCCTATTCTTTTACAATACTCACATTTGAATTTGGGTTTGGTCGGATTTTCATTACTCCAAATATTAGATTTATTCACAGAGAAAGCAACAACAACAACAACAGTGTTAATTAGCGGCGCCTTCTGAGAGACCATGGCTTGGTGGCACTCTTCTTGTATGACCATGGCATAGGCGCGATTTACATTTGGGATTGGCTCCATGGCGAGGATGGCATATTGGACATTATTGAAGGTGTCCACAAGACCCATCAAGAACTGTAGAATTTTGTCTTTCTCTTTTTCTGCAATCAACTTTCTTGCAGATCCACAAGAGCTCTCCAATATTTTAGACAAAACTGCAATTTTGTCCCAAAGACCCTTCATTCGTATGAAATAGGAGGTTACTGATATGGTTCCTTGGTGTAACAGGGAAAGATCCCGCTTCAGTTGACATAATCGAGGACCGTGGCCCTAGGAAAACCTTTCTCAAGATCGGACCAAATCTCCCTTGTAGAAGACACATATGCAACACTTTCACGGAATTCTCGTGCGAGAGAGTTAAAGATCCATGAAGTGACCATGCTATTGCATTTGATCCATGCTCTTACTTTTTCTAGAGGTTCTTCAGGTTTCAATACTATCCCATCGACAAAGCCAAACTTATTTTTGGCTTCTAATGCGATCCCATCGCTCTCTGCCATGTCGGATAATTCTCCCCTATAAGCAAAGACGAAACCAAGACCCCACTAGGATTGTCAGATGGATGCAGGTAGTAGGGTGACGCTGGATCAAGATCAAACATGGTTGACGACGGTGACATTGCAGCGACGTAGAGTTTGGTCGATGTAGAACTCAATCAAGGCTCTGATACCACATCAAAACAGAGAGCAAAGGAAAAGGAATTCTTTATATTCATTGATTCGGGGTGATGAGTGTATATGCAAATATTGTGATGAGATATCATCTGCGATGCGATGAGTCTTGGCAGTATGTTTCATTAACAAACTAGTAATAACCTATAATGACTTGACTAACTGTCCAACTATTTAACAAACTACAACTGGACCTGAACTGGACGGTAACTGACTAATCTCCAATATTTGGACACTACCATACTATGCTCTTGCATCCGGTGTTGATCCAGAAAATGCCCTCGAGGGGGGCAAGTCAATCAAATTAGTTGTTTGGGTATAGACCAATCGATCAAAGAATTAAGGGTGATGATGAAAAGCATGCAGTGGCAATGGACCACTCTCTTAGGAGCAGAGGTTGTGTTGGAGGTATAGTTCAACACTTGAGGTAGGTGTCACATTGAACAAATGGAAGAAGAAGAAGTAAGAAAACGGGAAGGGGGAGAGAGAGAGAGACTTGAGGTTGGGCTCAATGTTGGAGACCGTGGCTTCATTAAAGGTAGAGTTAGTAGAAAATTTACAATTCCTCTAAAATGGCCATCGTTTGAGCGAGCTAAAGTGGTTTTTCAGCTACGTTGTAGACATGTTCATAGTCGGATTCCCTCAAAGTCTTCAAATCAAAATACTGACTTGAAAAGTCACTAGTTGTATCTAGACTTGAAAATTTTCATCAGGTGGGTTTTATTTTGAAAATTTGATAAATAATGAAGGATAATTCGACATTTCGTTTTTTCTGTTAGTGTTTAATGGTGATGACAATTATTAAAAAACTTAAGAATGGTTTAGGACAATATATAAATAGTAGGGATAGAATTAGTCAATTTCCTAAACCATAAGGATATTTTAAGAGATTTTCCCTTTTGATAAATACCATCAATTGGTTCTCACCTAGTGGTGTGGCACGCACATTGCACGTGAAAAAACATAGTGGCTCGTGCATTTCTATGTGTAAAAGCCTAAAAGGAGATAGTGGAGAAAGAAAACTAAACGGATCAAAATGTGGGGCATAGTTTGATCATTACTAATGTTGTAAAGGGAACAAGATTTGAGGATAGAATAGAAAATTATGCAAATAACAAGGGCGTTTAAGATATAAAAGTTTAAATCATTGGTTAAAATTGGGGTGTATATATAAGTTTCAACATGGACCTATTAATGAATTAATAGGTTATAAGGATAAAATGAAAAATTGCCTAAATAGAACGGGTGTTATAGGTATATGAAAGTCTGAACGAATGGCTAAAATTGGGACATTAACAAAAGGACAGAATAGAAAATTAGACAAAGAATTAAGGATATTTTATTTTAAATATATAAAAGTTTGAGTATAGACCTATTAATATTTTTTCGTAATAAGTCTATTAATAAATTAATATATGATAAAAATAAAATGGAAATTTGTGTAAAGAGAAAGGATATTATAGGTAATACAAAAGTTGGACCAAAGGGATGATCGAGGGTGAATGTTTTCGTGGTAGAAAAAGCTTATATATAAACTTATGAATGAATTAGCATATTAAAAGGATAAAATGAAAATTTATATAAATAGAAAGAATATTATAATTATATGAATTGGACCAGTGAAACGGTCTGTTTTATATATATATAGAGAGAGAGAAATAGATTAAATGTTTTCAACGAAAATAACGACTAATGGTCATTGACTATGACCAAATCCGGAATGCTTTTAATTAAGACACTTTCAAAGTATTTGGGACCCCTAGACCACGCTAATTAACCACCCATCCATCTCTCGATTCTCTCCCTCTAGAACTCCCTCTCTTCTTCTTCTTCTTCTTCTTCTCCTCCACCACCACCGCCGCCTCTTCCTTCTCCTCCTCCCTTATTGTGAAGGCCTATCCTTCATCCACTGACAAAAAGGAAGAGAGAGGGAGAGGAAGAGAATGAACCCCTTGGACCCCTCGAACCACCCACCCAACCATAAAATATTGAATACGACGGTACCATCAAATAATACGGTATGTAAATATCACGATACAAGGTTCAACTCCAAAGGGGTTTGGTCTGGAGACAATCCCCTGAGTTTCGTGTTACCCGCCTCGTTTATTGAAGTCTTCATGATTGTGGTGATCAGCCGTGTAATCCACATTATCATCAGGCCTCTCAAACAACCCAGATTCGTTGCAAATATGCTCGTAAGTAAGCTAGCTTTATATATAATTTTGTATATAAATATATATATATATATATATATTTCCTACGTGCATTATCATCCACCATTGTTTAATTATTTTCTGCGCTAGCTAGCTGCTTCCCCCATCTCCTCCTCTTCTAAGTTCTAATTAATAATGTGGTTGTTTGGTTTGGTTTGGGTAAAATTAAGAGTGGTATAATATTGGGGCCCACCATCTTAGGGCAGACGAAAGAATTTGAGAAGCTGGCGTTTCCTGGAAGCAAAGAGATGGTATTGAATACAACATCAGAGTTAGCAATGCTGTACTTGTTCTTCCTGGTTGGCGTGAAAATGGACACGAATTTGATATTGAAGCCCAAAAGAGATGCAGTGAGAATTGGTATGACAGGATTGATACTTCCTTGGGTGCTGGTTGCGTGTGCAACCCACTACCTACGTCCATACACGTCGATAGGGGAAATGGGACCGTTTTTCATCATGTTCTGTTTAAGTTTGTCGTTGAGTCCCTTCCCTGCAATTGCTAATATAATGGATGAGCTGAATCTGCTCACCTCTGAAATGGGAAAGCTGGCAGTGTCCTGTGCAATGGTGAACGACATGGTGTCCTGGGTTGTGTTGATAATCACTGCTGCCCTTCTCCAGAGAACCTTGATGGCCTCAATTTCAGCAGTCGCGTCTACCGGTGCATTTTTCATTTTAATAACCCACGTAATGCGCCCAGTCGTCGTAGGGATTATCGAGAATACTCCCGAGGGAGGTGTGGTGAGTCAGTCTTGGGTCGTGATTATACTGCTGGGAGTGTTGGTGAATGCATTCATCGGCGACGTCATAGGTCTCACTCCTAATATTGGGGCTTTTGGCCTCGGCGTAATTATACCGGAGGGCTCAACCCTGGGGATAGCTCTGGTGGAGAAGACTGAAACCATTGTGACGGAGTTCCTTCTTCCCTTCTTCTTCCTTCGATGTGGCTTGTACACCAACATTTTCTCGGTACGGAATGCCAAGAATTTTTTAGCTCTGCAAGTCATCATGTTGATGGGAAGCGTAGGGAAGCTGGTGGGAACTATCTTACCTTGCAATCTCAACGCTCAAAATGCGCTGTCACTGGGTCTTATCATGATATGCAAGGGCATCTTCAACATAAGCCTCTTCTTGACCTGGAGATTTTATAGGGTGAGGCTGATGACATGACGGCCGGCCGGCCGCCTGAGCCCGAGGCCCTTATATATATAATTATTTGTTGTTAATTGGTTAACTTAAAATTCATGGACTAATTATAACTAGCTTCTGATATGATGATGGGTTGCAGCTCATTGACGAGGAAAGTTTCACTATATTCGTAGTGTCCAACCTGTTGCTCACAGTCATAATCGCGCCTTTGCTCACAACCCTCTACAAGCCACCAAGGTACTTCGCCACACACGCAGCGGGATTATCACTCCAAAACATACGACCCAACCATGAGCTTCGAATCATTGCCTGCCTCCACGACGAGAGGATTGTTAATGACATCATCTCCATCATTGAAGCTTCCTATCCAGCCAGGGAAACCCCCATATACGCCTATGTGCTTCACCTGGTTAACTTGGTCGGCCGATCTGTTGCTGTGGTAGCCGACCCTAGCACCGTTTACAGGTGCAGCACCCATAAGCCCACCAAATCTGATTATATCATGAGTGCCTTCAAAAAGTACTCAGACTGCACCCATGGGACTGTCGGCTTTCGCCCTTTAACCGTCATCGCCCCCTACAAATCCATGCACGAGGATATTTGTAAGATAGCTCATGATAACAGGGCCGCCCTCATTCTCCTGCCTTTCCACAGGAACGACCACATGTTGGGTAGTAGTACTGCTGCCTTATCTACCCTTACCCACAACGTTCTGGCCGGTGCACCTTGCTCCGTCGCCCTCCTTGTGAACCGGGGTTACAAATATTGTCGCTTCGCCGTCCAAGAACACTTCTCCTACAGCGTGCTTCTCCTCTTCTTTGGCGGACCCGATGACCGTGAGGCACTAGCATTTGCCAGTCGCATGTCCACACACCCCGGCTTGAGTGTCACCGTCATAAGGTTTCAATTTTCCGACGACGACGACAACGATAATGAGAGGGAAAGACAGCTTGACTACTCTGTTCTGCACGAATTTAAACTTAAGAACTTCACCAATGAATCTGCAATGTTCCGTGAGGAGGTTGTGAATGATATTGAGGAAGCTCTGCTTCTAATTCGATCTCTCAAGAGTAAGTACGACCTTGTTATCGTTGGGAGACGAAATTGGACGTGCAAGGCGCTCACTGGAGATATGGCAGATTGGAGTGAGAATACAGAGCTTGGGGTCCTCGGCGACATAATTGCATCTTCTGATTTATTAGATAATGAGTACAATCTATTGGTTATGCAAGCAAGGATGTGATGGATGCAAGACTACACTCTCCACCATCAACACCAGAGTAATCATGTTCTAAATTTGAAAATTGTTAAATATTCATTTTAAGTTCATAAATGAAAATTTTTGTTTATGTTGAGGGGTATCATTAAAAAACAAAAAATTATAAGATTCCTCTTTTAAGAGATAAAGAAAAAGATGGGCATCAATTTTTTTTTTAAAGTTGTAAGATTCCTCTTAAAAAATAAAATTTAAGAAAAAACGACAAAAACAAATCACTTGGGTTACAGACCCCTAATGTTCATCTGATTTAAATCTTTACCATGCTCTTTCCAGGTGACACACGTACGCTTGCTTCAACTTTGGAAGTTGGGTTCTACAGATACTATTTCTTGAGACCATTTGCATCAGGAGACAGCAGGTTATTTGAGCTGTGCAGGTCACTGATTCTTGCTTATTGACTAGAGATGGATTCTGTAGTTAATTTTTGACATTTGAGCTGGAAGAGTTCGGGTATTATTTATATGCAATGTAGTCCGTACGTAGAGACCTCTTTTTGAGACCAGGCTTTGTAGCATTTTTCTGGCAATGTGTCCCAATAGAACATACATGATGCAAGAAAGTGCTATCACCATGATCACACAGCAACTGTTTCCTCCACTTGGAACTTGGAAGGGAGTTCGAATATGCTTCAACCATGGTCTTAACATCACCAACACCACCTGGTGACCCATTTATTTTCTATGGTTTTACTTAATTATGCCACTATCTCGACCAACTTTGATCACAACATTAATTTTTTGGAACTACACACAATTTCTGACCACCTTAACAACTCAAACATAACTTATTAGATGATATGATACAATGTGTGTACTGTAGACAAGGCTCAACACCATGAGACCCGTGACTGGTGAGTGGCTTACAAAGCTTGTTTTCATGGTAAATCAGAAAGACACCATGTTAACTTTGAATTAATAATAGAATAAGAAACTTTACCTGCAAAAAAAATGCCCATATTCTATAAAAAAAAATAATTAATTTCAGTTTGTTAATAAAATGGAAACTAAGTTGGTTGTTTTTCCAAAATTTCAAAACAAAACTATAAAAGTTTCAGGGGATTGGGAAGCAAAAGAAGAGAGAATAACCTGACGTAGACCACGATTCCATTTTTTATTTTTGTAGGAATTAGGGAGGGGCAGAGTAGGGTGCATATGAGGCCCACTAGCCACACTACTAGTTATGCAGGTTTGATCCCATGCCTCCTATTTCCAGGGGTGCCAAGTGGTCATCCTGACAACTGGGTCATGGACATGATTTGAATTAACTGTGTTATTCATGTTGTGAGAGATTTTATACCTATTGGTTTGACAAACATCCCTTACATGGTGATTGCTAGGATCATTGCCCACTGTATAGATCCAATTTTTAAATAAGATCATTTCGTCTTATTAACCTTCACATTGGGGGTTGTTTCATCGCCAAAGTTGTAGTGCAAGAGGTTTTGCATTCCATGAACAATGTGGATTCTAGTATAGACCGCTCAATGTGGATGCTAGTATTGAATAGAAAACTTTCCACTGACGGTGCAAGTACCATGATCCTTGGGTGACTTCTCCAAGGATTGCTGGTACATGAATAGAAAACTTTCCACTCGTAACACTGACGGTGCATGTGCATCCAGAGGTGCTTCTGTCCTAGGTTATGTTGGAAGCAAAATATCATTTTCCTCGGGGGCAAATTGTTGAAAGTTGAAACCTCCCCTGAAGTTTATGTATGGTAAGACAAACCTTAGGGCTGCGTTTTGGAATCTATGTAAAACCTCATCGGTGTAAAAGTATATCTATGAGGTTTTACACCAAACTGTAAAAAAGTGACTGTTAATTTTGAAAAGTGTGAATTCAAAATGCGTGGAGTTTTACATTGATTTTATCAATATAGTATTTATATTGATAATCGATGTAAAACTTTATTTTTAATGAGGTTTTATATTGATTTAGTAAAACTCTACTCCATCCAAACGCCGACAAAACCGAATCGGAGTGGAGTTTTACGTCAATCTTAATTTACACTCCTTCCAAATACCGACAAAACCGAACTAGCATAAATATTTACATCGCTTCCAAACGCAGCCTAGGTAACAATATTAGATTGCCTAATTGGCGAAATACCCCCATACTAATTTAACTATTTTATCCTAAAATAGTTGATGGGAAGAGCTATAAAATTGTGCAGTTTGTCAGCCTTGGAGACTGAATACGAAGCTTTAAGGACTCTTATCTGCAAAGGAGCTGTGTTTCTCAATTGATTTTGGAAGATAACTCCCATCACATTGTAAAATTCCTGTTCAAGGATAATTTCAAAGCTCTTTGTGGCACATCCGCTGCCGCACATGCAGGAATCTCATGAGGGAGTTTAGACCTCACTCAGGTTTCAACTTTCAATCAATTTTGTTTCTAGTGGAAATTCTGCAGCTACACGAGTGCTCGATTAGTAGAATTTATGGTCTCTTCCTCTAATTTTTTTAACCCAAAGTATTGAGAGAGTAAAATTGCATTACCATACTTCTGTGATCGACTCTTGAGTGGAACCAATGTATACTTTCTTTCATAATTAATGTTACTGTCAATAATTCCTCTAAAACCTTACTCTTAGAAAGAGAACCTCGGGAGGATTCCTAGACTCAGACCCTCTCACCAGTCTTATGTTAGTTTCTATGGTAAGTAGGCCATTAGTCCAGTTATTTCTCTTTGACCTTCTTTCCCTTACCAGTTATATTTTTTCCTACCATTACTTAAGCCAAAAACTTTGTTTTTGGACTATTTTGCATAGAAGGAATGGCAATTGGCAGCAGATTTCTAACAAGTTCTCAGAACCTCGGGAGGATTCCTAGACTCAGACCCTCTAACAAGTTCTCATTTCATGCCGTAGACTCACAGGCCACTTGTTCTTAAGCTCTTTTGAATAAAACCTTTACCTCCTAAGGTTGCATTTGGATGCGATGTAAATCAAGAACCAATGTAAAATTTACATTGGTTCAGTTTTAGGCATTTGGAAAGAGGATATAATTATTGTCAACGTAAAAGTCCACTCCGATTCAATTTTGCGTACGTTTGGATGGAGTGGAGTTTTACATGATAACCAATGTAAAACCTCATCAGTTCTAAAGTTTTACATCGATAATCGATGTAAAAACTATGCCAATTTTATCGATGTAAAACTTTACTCTTCCACCCATCACTATTTTCAAAAAGCAACGGTCACTTTCATGGTTCAGTGTAAAACGTCATCAATGTATTTTACACTGATTCCAAATGCAGCCTAAATAGCAATCTGGGGCACGGCAAACTCATAAATATCATTGATGGTTGTATTTTTACAACAACCCAAAAATGTTACAAGTAACACAAGGAAATATTCACAAAACCATGAATAAGGCAAGAAACAAGCGATAAAATAAAATTACAAATATTGGGAAGCTATCCCAATGGATGCCGATAGGTAACAAAAAATGAACCATTGAAAAAACCACCCAAATCTCGTAACTGTTTATTAACCAAATGACGTGGACTTCAAGTCTGGGATTCTCACATAAAACTCGGGCCAGTCTGCAACATGTAACAAGATGCCTCTGTTTCTGATTATCCAAAAAGAATGGTGTTGGCAAAATTAGCAGGAATGAGCAGCATTATGAAGCAAACATATGAATCATCAATATGGTGAAAATATATGGTTGATAACCAAAAGGCAAAAGTTCATTCCTTCTAATTATCACATGAATTCCTGGTATAATTGGTTTTCTTGTAAGCCATAATAATAATAATACCTATTGGTTCTATCTAATAATATATCATCTACACCCCCTCCCCCCAAAGATCCACTTGTCAGAATGTTTACATTTTCATCATCACATACCAACTGAGCAGATTGATCTCCCCATACTGGTTTTATGTTGGCACCCCCCCCCCCCCCGGCCTCTATCCACCACTAGTAGCAACTGTACGAGGCTCCATTCTGAATGGACCCATTTTCCCACCTCATGCACCTCCAGATCAGCATTCGCACATTTACCAACCAGCCAAGTATTCAACAGTTCCAAATGTTGATTCAATTTTCCAATATTGAAAAACACAACTTTTAAGTCTCGATGCATTTGAGGCAACCCCCAAAACTCCAACTTCTGCCTTCTCTCCTTCTATTGAAGCTTCTTCATCATGGAAGCTGTTTCAAGCTCCATTCTGAATGAATCCATTTTCCCACCTCATGCACCTCTGGATCAGCATTAACAAATTTTCCAGCCGGCCAAATATTCAACAGTTCCAAATATTGTTTCAATTTTCCAATATTGGAAACCGCAACTTTAAAAGTTGATGCTTTTGAGGCGACCACAGAACTCCCAAATTTGTCAAATAACTTCTGTCTCCTCTCCTATTGAAGCTTGTATCATACCAGAGTTATCTTCCTTTAGCCGTCTCACCACCACCTCTTAGTCACCCTCAAAACCACTTTTCTTAGGTTCAGCTCCCTTGCTCTTTGGGCGCTCCTGAATCTTTTCTCTAAGCTGCATTCCAAAGGGTGCAACTTAACTGTTAAATCGTCAAGTTGTTTTTGCCTTTTACAGACAATCAATATTAATCCTATCTTGGTTTGTGTGGTTAAACTTACAAAACATGTTCTTCAGTCCTCACCAGATTGATCTCCCAAGAAAACAAGATTATATTCAGTGACAACAGAAAATAAAACCACAAGAGAGTTTTCTCTTGATGAAATGTTGAATAAAAAAGAATTAAAACCCTAATCAATGATGGCATGGATATCACAACACCGCTGAAAAGCATGCAGAAATATCTTGAGATATTGGGAATAGTGTCAAAATCTCACTTTGTTAATGCTCATTTCTTTGATATAGAACCAATTCCTTGCCCATTTTACAGTGATACCTTCCCTTGAGTGTCATCTTGGCAAAACTTTAGGCATGGCTGTTGCTTCTCATGGTACAGCACAACTGGACTGAAGACACTTCTTTA